CCTCATGTCATTTACTACAGGGTAGCAAAAACGGTTCAGAAATTCTTGACCGACCTTCGCGCATCCTCCGTCACCCCATCCTAACCCCCACGAATTTTGAATTAAAAAATATTGTACCCCGTCATCTTCTCCATATCCAACAATCAAGACAGCGTGTTTCTTATCAATATCGATTTGCTCATCAGCTGGCCGAATATAGATTCCCTAAATCAAAACATCATTTTGGGTAAAAGATAAATCAGATTAAATTGAACTAAATAAAAACAAGGGGTCAAATTGAATCGATAAGTATAACTCGCTAACTGCATTTAAGTAGACAAAAGAAGAAGAAAGAATTGTAATACAAAGAAATTACTTGGCCATTGAATTCCAGAAGGCTTGGTGTTATATACATCCATGCAGCAACTGTTTGTTGTTGTATTATTTCAAGCACTGCATTTCTGTCATTATGGAGGTCCACATAATCGCTGATCATATTTTTTTTTTGAACAGCAAAAGTGATATTTATTGAAACAAAGACGGAGTACAGGGTGCTCCAAACCCATAAACAACACCACTTGAAAGGAATAGATTACATAGGCAAATGTCCGTTGCATTTGGTGTCGACACCAAAATTATGTGTCAACACTACGTCCGTGTCGGGTTCTGGAAGCTCAGCCCTCGCATCTGGTGTCGACACCAAAATTATGTGTCGACACCACGTCCGTGTCGAAATCTGGATGCTTAGACCTCCTGTTTGGTGTCGACACCATTGGATCCTTCCTATGAATTCAGATCTTTACCTTGGATTTATCACCCTGTTTTGCCATCTTTTTGCTGTAGCATCTCTTAAGCAAGATACCGAATCCTGGAGTCAGTCTGATATTGAGAAAAGACTGCTTTTCATTCTATCATTTTTATATTTAATCCAAAGATAAGATCTCAATTGGATGAGTTCAAGAAGCTTCCCTGGATTGATCTCTTTGCCTTGGAAAATCTTTTGGTTTCGAGCCAACCACACAGACCAAACAAATTAATTCCATATGCAATCCCACCCTTCTTTGATGCTTGGCTCTTTAGACACAACTCCTGATTTTTGAAAGGTATTCCAGCAGTTTACTTCCAACGAGAACTTAGTCCCCCACCACTTTGCACAGGCCTTCCATAGCCATCGAGCGATCCTGCAACTTAAGAACAAGTGCGTCGTGTCCTCTTCTTCTCCAGCACATATTTCACACTTGCTTTCTCTCGTCGTTGGTGATCCCTCTTCTCAATAGGTTCTTTTTAGTTGGTATTCTATCCAATAGTGGTTGCCAATTGAAAGCTGAAATTTTGCTTGAAAGGGTGGAGTTCCATATTCTTGTAAAGATTGTAGTTTCGGTTGATCCTTTCTCCTCTTTTGTTAACAATGCGTAGGCTGATTTTGTTGAGTATTGACCGTTCTTGTCATGAATCCAATCCCAATTATCAGGGCGTCCTTGCAAGACCTTCACATCTTTTATCATGTTCTGCAGTTCCATCATCTCTTTTGCTTCCCACTTGAACAACTTTCTCCTCCATGTTAGATTCCATTCCCATGATCCGTCTCTTTCACTTCCCATTTGGTTGCACATGTGCATCTTTCTTGTTGAAAGAAGATATAGTCTTGGAAACTTGTTAGCAAGACACCCCTTTTCCCCCCAGTCATCCCACCAGAAACTAACGCTATTCCCCTCACCTATGTTAATTCTAAAACCCTCCCTCAACTAGCCTACACTCTCCCCATCCATAGTGTTCAAACCGCAGACATCCCTCCACTATATCGACCCTGCACCATTATTTCCAATAATCCAATCTTGCCAATGTCCCCCTCCCTTTCCATACTTCTCAACAAGAATTTTTTTCCACAAACTATCCCTATTTTTTGCAAGCCTACCCCACCATTTTGCCATCAACGCCATGTTAAATTTCCTTAAGTCCCTCACTCCTAGGCGCCCTTCT